CAGCATTTTGTTTACATTTGTAATGACCGAAAAAGACCCCAAGGCCAATGTTGCAGCCTAACGGCTACTCAAACAATACACCCAGGGTCTCCGATTGGAGGAAAGAGGCCTCCACAGGGATTGGCCAGGAAGGCGGAGGGGCTTTTGATGTGATTGGAGGGAAAGTTTTGAAGGCGAGTAAGGCGGAAAACAATGGGGTGGAACCCAATAGGCGACGGTTTGGAACCGTTAAGAGGGAAAGGGCAGTGATTGGCCGAGGGAACATTCCAGAAGGGGGGGGGGGGGCTGAGGGATATATAAGAGGAGAGAGCACGAAGAGGCGGGAGCTTCAGACTTTTGACTTGTAAACAACTTTTATTGCCGCCAGCAGCAACAGCACTGGAGGCGATTTCGATATGAAAAACACAAAGTCACCAGCAAACAAATGGAAATAAACGCTACAAATCCACGCGCTGTGGCGCTAAAAGCACCGCGCACAACACGAAGGAAAAGTCACGTGGTGGTATAAATCTTAATTTAGGAGCTTTCGTGACTGCAGGAATTATTCTTTGGTTCTTTTCGGTGGTTGTGGTGGTCATCGCGCACGCCACGGTGACGAGCGAGCGCTTCAGAAGGTGAACACCACGAGGGTGCCGTCCACGCTGGTGCAGAGAGGGGCTTGTCCGGCTCCCCAGCGTTCGAAGAAGACGTGCACATCAGCTTCAGAGACAGATACAAGCTGGAAGAGAGTCACGAAGCCTCGGGTCCTTTACTGTGTAATCCATAGTAGGGTTCCTTATGGTGTAACTAATAAAAGTGGCTTTTATATTCTTGCCGTCGGAGTCATTACACATTTAACAGGCAAAATTCTGATGATGGGACCTAAAAAAAACAGTCGAACCTGTCTCTATGGAATCCTTTTTGTTTATTGCCAGTATCAAGATGGCAATAATACAGGAGGCGTTACGGTGTTCGTACACCAAAATGAGCACCTATTGCAAGGCATCAAGTCTGGAATAATCACACGCACTTGTGGTGAAATGTGCAAACACGTGCGCTTTGATAACGAGTGCATTGTCCTTGACAGTGATTGTCTGACACCAAGAGAAGCCATTCTCTGCTAGATTTGCCTGCCCAAACGAACGCTACTCGAAAGCATAGGTGAAAAGCACTACCGGCTAATGGGCCAACATTTTTGTGATTAACAAACCCTTGTCTTTTGATTTAAAGTTGTCGTGACTGCAGGGATTCATATTCTTGGTTCTTTCGGTAAAGTCACGTAGAAGGGAAACAATAAAATAATATAAATATAAAACAATACAAATTCTCACGACGTTTCGACTGCAATACAAGCAATCATCATCAGGTGTGAAATCCACAGCAAGAAAATTTTCAAATTTTCTTGCTGTGGATTTTCAAATTTTCTTGCTGTGGATTTCACACCTGATGATGATTGCTTGTGTTGCAGTCGAAACGTCGTGATAATTTTGATTGTTTTACATTTTTATTATTTCCCTTCTACGTGACTTTACCGAAAGAACCAAGAATATGAAACCCTTGTCTGTTTATGATTTCAATATAAAAAAAACTTGGGTATTCCACAAAGGCCGCCTGCCCGGGGCAGTGCAGTAAACGTGAAGAAGAATGGAGAGGGACGGCCAAAGGAGATGGAGCGATGGAATGAGCTGGATGGATCGTAGCATCGCAACCCCGTGAGAGACTGCAGCGGCTTGGGGGGAAGCCTTAATCTAGCAGCGGATAGGTCATGGCTGGTGATGGTGAGAGCCCATCCGAAGGGGGTTTCTTAAGCAGGAAGGAATGTTCAAAAAAACAATGTTGAGAGCGTGGACAAGGAGGGTAAATGAGAGATTTGTATACTAAATTAGCACAAAATCTTGACTTGAAGCTTTCGTTACTGCAGGAGTTCATACTCTTTGGGTCTTTCGGTAAAGTCACGTAGATGGCACTGCCCGCGTATTTGCGTGGGATACATGGCCCGGGTGGAGGGGAGGGGGTGGGGGGATGGGGGGGAGGGGCGGGGGGGGCATTAAGTCAACACGTGACGTCAATCACGCAGACGGGCGCCTCGTCGCCCACGTGGAAGGCAGTTTCACGCCACTCTGCGTGATCCACCGACCCTCGCCTCCACAGTGCTGGGACCATGTCACAGGCCACGTGAACAGCCACCGCTGCCCGGCTTGGCCAAGGGGCTGCGCCGTGCATGTGCTGAGACTTTGGCCGCTGATAAGACGCGAGCCGCGCTCTTTGAAAAAGGCTGCGTGTGTTGTTGATGTGCTTGGTTCTTTCGGTAAAGTCACGTAGATAGCAAAAAAATTACAAAAAAATGACAAAAATAAAAAAATAAGAAAATGACAAAATAAAAAAAATTTACAATTAAAAATAAAAGCAAAAACCACGAACGCTTCAATCGCAACACAAGCAGTCTTCATCATACGGAGAGAGTGAACAGCGGTTAGCGCACTGCGCTACGAACCCCGGTGACCCGCATTTAATTCCCCGGCTGCGGCTAACGTCAGTGGCGAGCGATGGCTGAACCGGTTCTGGGCGCTTCCGCTCGGTCAACTCAGCCTTGCAAGTGGGTAACGTGGTGCAGTGCGTACACATCGGCACTAGGGAGACAAAGGCGGCCGCGCCTTGCGCTGGTCGCATACGTAGCCGATGGTGTACTCGTGCGCATTGCTCAAGGCAGCCTGTGCAGAGGCTACACGGGACAACTTTGTTTTCATCTTGAGGCCCACTATAATAATTTTGTTTCTTGCTGTGGTTGTCCCACCTGATGACGGACGCTTGTGTTGCGCCCGAAACGTCGTGATTTATTTTAATTTATTTTATACCTACGTGACTTTACACGAAAGAACCGAAGAGTATTTGATCTTGTTCTTGTTGCTGTTGTGTGGTGCTCACAGCATACACACACTAACTAAGCAATTTTATTTTTTATGTTACCAGCTAAGGCCCACTGAGCTAAATAACTCTTGTTCAGAAGCGACCCACAATTGATCGCTCAACGTGACGGCTTATCGGGTGGAAATTTATAGCGGCAGCGAAATGCCCTAAACGCGCGTCGATTCTAAACGTGGAGGGGGAAAAATTAACCCGTAAAAACAAAGTTTTTCACTATAAATCCTTTATATGCGTGTTCAATGGGCCACAACCCAGCCCACATTGGTCTTTGAAACGGGCGGCTAGAGTCCTCTCGTCCTCTGGCTTGAGATGGCTGCCACATATGGGCCAGATGATTGCCTGCCACCATTAAGCAATTGGTATTTAAATATAATTTATTTTTTCCTAAAAAGTGTAACATTTTTGAAAAAAAATTTCACGAAAATAAATTGTCACGCACAACGAGTCTGTGTGCAAAATGTCAGCTCGATTGGATCACGGGAAGTGGGTTAAAAAACGACCGAAAGATTTGCACGGTCGTAAGCGCGCAAGCAAGCAGGCAAGCAAGTGAACTTAATATAAAGGATTTAAAAATAAAATACAAACGGATGAAGCCGGAGAAGAATCGTTGCGAGCACGGTGAGAGCGAGAGACGCGCTCCAACAAGCGCCAGGGTCGGGGTCGAACCAGGCGGCGAAGGAGTTCACATCAGCCCTGGTCACGGTGGAGTTGATATTAACCTCGGAGCAAGTGAGGACAGCGAGTGGATCAAAGTGCAAGCAAGGTCTGCGGTTGTATGCGATGGGAGCGTTGGGGTGGAGTGGGTTACGGGAGGGGGGGGGGGGTCCACAATGCATGCGCAGGCATGCGCGTGGATGGAAGGCGAACTCCGCGTGTTGGTGCTGTTGATGTTACAGCCCAGCGCGTGTGAGTCGTCTATTGATTAACGGCCTCTCCCTCCCTCCCTCTCTCGTGCAATAAACGACGACCCGCAAGTTGGTTCCGCACGGTCACGGGCGATGGTGCACAACACCAGTTGCTATGGGCGCCCTGCACATTGACCTTGTCTTCTTATAGCCTCACGCCCGAGGTCCGCTGAGCACGGAATTAACAGCGGACAGCGAACGGAACGCGACTGAGATGCGAGGAGACCGCTGCTAGAGAAGTCTACGGCCACGAGCGAGGTCAATGAGCGTTGCTGAGTGGGGTGCCTGGGGGAGCGGTGGCGCAGCGGTTAGCACAGCGCGCTGAGAAGCAGGTGACTCGATATCGATTTCCGACCACGGCTAACGCCATCGGCGAGCGATACTCGAACCGGTTATGGTTGCCACCCCCCACCAAACCGCGATGACCAGCGTGGAGAAGTATGGTCAAACACAACCCCCGTGAACCAAATGTGGCTGCAGATCGCAAAGGTGACTTACAATTAACAGGAAAGAGTCGTATTTTCGGTACATAACTGGCAGTGAATCACGTAGTTTCGCTCTAACTTCGATTACCAATCCCCTACAGGATTGATCATACTGCTACAGTGTCGCGTTAAACGATTTTATAGCAGTGGGGACGATTGCCTTACCTCTTCCAAGACGTCTGAGCAGCGTGGAAGAGTAGGCCAAAGGACCATCTAGCGGCGCTCTCTAACAGCTCCCTTTAGTCGAGGCCCCTTCCACCGGCAATGTCGTGAGCCAAGCCATTGCGGCCATCTCTGAACCCTTAAAAGCCGCGGCAGGTTCACTCCTCGGTGACCGCGAATTGTCGAAGAGAAAGTGGCGCGTAGCAGCAGAATGTTCATCGTGAGCCACGCTGCTGACGACTGCACGTGCGGAGTGAGTGGGCGAGCAAGAGAGAGAGAGAGAGAGTGGAGAATGAGGGAAGCTGGGAGGGAGGTGTGTTAACCGAAGGAGAGAGAGAGAGGAAGGGAGAGGTGGGCGAGAGAGTCAGGGGGAGGGGGTAGAGGAGAGGCTGGAGGGAAAGAGAAAAACAGAGAGAGAGAGAGCGAGCGTACGGGCTGATTGTGTGTGCGCGCTCATGGGGAGAGAGAGATATAGCCGAGGCTGAGTGCAGTCAGTGTGCGTCTGGGGTAGAGGGAGGGAGGATACGCGGGGGGTGGTGGACGCATACAGAGAGTGCGCGCGTGTGTGTGTGTGTGGCAGAGAGATAGTGGGGAACGAACGGAGGGCCCTTGGTGCTTTGAGACTTTTGTTTTTGTAGATTTTTTTCGTGTCTCTCCCGGCTTGTTCCCCGGCTCGGCATGAACGCAACGGCACCGCGAGGCACGACGGCGCCTCGTGGCGACACGAAGATCGGCAGCTCCGTGCGCGGTCGCGCCTGAGATTGTCAGAAAGACCATGTAAGCTCCCGCGGTAGAGAACACTCCTCTACCTTACCCACCTACCCTGCTACCCCCCCCACACACACACTCACACTCGATGTCAAATAGCCGGCAAATGTCGAAGAAACGAAGAGCGGGCGAAGATGGATTACAACATTCATCTTCATCATCATCACCGTCGTCGTCATCATCGTCGTCGTCGTCGGCATCGTCTTCATCTCCGTCGTCGTCTTCGTCATCGTCCTCGCTCAAGACGAAGGACAGCATTGAGCATGGCGAAGGTGAGTGGCTCGAGCATGCATCTTATATTCCAGGTGTGTGTTGTGTGTTGTGTGTGTTGTGTGTGTGTTGTGTGTGTGTTGTGTGTGGTTTGTGTGTGTTGTGTGTGTGTGGTGTGTGTGTTGTGTGTGTTGTGTGTGGGTGGGTGTGTGTGGTTTGTGTGTGTTGTGTGTGTGGTGTGTGGTGTGTGTTGTGTGTGTGTTGTGTGTGTGGTGTGTGTGTGGTTTGTGTGTGTAGTGTGTGTGTGGTGTGTGTGTGTGGTGTGTATGTGTGTGTTGTGTGTGTGTGTTGTGTGTGTGTGTGTGTGCAACCGTCGAGGTTGATTCCGCCTTGCATGAGTATCAGAGGCGTTGTCAACATCAGCACGGTGGAGGGAGACAGAGAGACAGAGAGGACCGCATGAGCGTCGTGCCTCACCACGCCACCGCATTCCGTGCGCCCGTGTGTGCCCTTACAGAGGTGCTCGCTAACAGCACTCGCCCCAGCAGTCTGGGGGGAAGGGGTTAGGTATATCTTTGTTGTTGTTGTTGTGTGGTGTATGCGGGGACAGCGATGGGCTTGACGTGACCATCATTTTGATTGCGTGGTGCGCGCGCGCGTGCGTGTCCCGCGAATTGACGCGAGCCCCGCTGGGTGCACGACTGAAACGCACGCAAAGCTCCACTTATTGACACGCTGTGTATGCCTGCACACACGCCGCGTGTGGGCAGTGTGGTTTGCTCGCATTGTCGCTCTCCGCTGGCCACTTTGTTCCCGGCAAGCGGATCGACTCGGCGTGCATCTGATGACCCCTTGCTCGCACCGGCACCTCTGCGGAGGCGTCCGCCGAGACTCAAGTGTGTGACACTTTCGTTTTTTTTTAAAAGTCATGGTGAGCTCGGGGCAGAACGCGTCGCTCGGAGGCAATGACGCTCAGGTGGTTGAGACGAATGTTGGACGAGGTGGTGGGGGGGGGAGGTGTCCGAGATACGGAGCTCGGACCTCGGGCCGTGTGCGCGCGCAGGTGCGAGATGGATTGCCAAGGAAGGCGATGTGCACGCGTGCGGTGGGTTTCAGCATCGCAAAGTTGAATTGCACGCCGGTTTTTTTTGCATTCATGCCAGGCATCGGATTGACGACGAGAGACCGAGAGAGGGGGGGGGGGCACGCGCATCACAACAAACGCACGCGCGCGCGGTGAAACCACTTTACATGCAAATGATGTGCAGAGTAAATGGACTTGGGCAGTGCACGTGACTGAGAAAGGTCGAGGAGCGGTGGTCAAGACGAAGGTCGGAATGGAAGCCCAAGGAGGGATCGCGGCGCGGAGATGGAGCTATGAAATGAGCGCGTGTGCGGGTGCGAGGTGGACTGCTACAGCGTAGGGTTGTGAGAGACGGTGACAACTTCGGAGGCCTTGATACATCCAGCGAGCGGACTGCTCACGGCTGCCACCGACTTGATAATGATCATGGTGAATGCATAAGCTTGCGTTGCGTCATCGAGGATGATTGGTCAGTGCAATGTGTCACGTGCAAATGATTAACAATGCAAATATTGCGAAGTAGACAGAAAGCACGTGTATATAAGTTACTACATTTGCATACATGCGTTCACTGTAAGTGTAAGGTGAGGAGAAACCATTCATTCATTGGCGCCCTGAGAACGATTGTTTAAAGGCGCTTTATAAATTGAAATTATTATTATTCAAAAAACGTTTATGCAGTGTTGAAATATCGGTTGAGAAAAATGGGCAATAAATATTGGGAGAAAAAAAACAAGGATGCCAAAAATATTGCAAAATAGACAACTACAGCATGAATAACGCCACGGCATGTGGCACCTTGAGACGTCGTGAAAGGCGCCTTATAAGTGTCCGAATATTATTCTACACGGTTATGTGTGCAAGATAAACACGCGCAAACAGGAGCACACAACAACCAACAACACCTGGCAGATACATGTTAATCACAAACACCGGCAACCCATGACATCGTCGTCAGTATCATGCATTATATGAAGTACCATTACCTTTATAGAATATTTGTTTTCACGTAACATTGATCACGTGCCGAAACGAAGACGCCCCCGCCTTTGCCGGCCAGTGCTCGAGATCACCCTCGTCTCAGTGACAGAGCACCACACGCACTGACCCAGTTCGTGCAGATTGTCGTGCAATTGTTTTGGATACAAATTCAGCGACGCTGCAAACTTCACAAGAGCACATTTCATCCGGAGCGGTGGATTGACACATTTTTGGGGAACTTATTTCTCATAGTACGTAGCCAACCGTGCTAATCAGACACGTGTCTACGATAGCCACAGACGTGGTGAAATGTAAGTAGGATGTGGTGTGCCGGGTGGAGAAATGTATTTCCGAATCACCGTCCTCGATAAACCCGGCGGAAGTGAAGCTCTAGTGTTAGATGGCCGTTGTGAAATTAATCGCTTTTATTAAACAACACAGAAATGAGCGGACAATGAATTCATATTTGCCTGTCCACATGAAAATTTTAATGAAAACAAACATTACGAATCTCATCAGCCGCACGGCTTTCTGAGAGGGTACAGTTTCAGCAGCGTTGATTCAAGGAAAACTCTGGACCGATTTATTTTGCTACGTGGAGAGATGGATAGCTGAAGGAAACCTGTCGTCTTCCGATTTGCTTTGTCATTTATATTCTCCACAAGGACGCTCATGATTATTAGGAATTGTGTTTCGCGATGCACCGTATACCCATTCTTTGGGTCTTTCGGTAAAGTCACGTAGATAGGTTCAAAGAAAATGACAAGAAAATAACAAAAAAATTACGACATTTCTACCTGATGATGACCGCTTGTGTTGCGATCGAAACGTCGTAGTTTTTTGTTATTTTATTTGAACCTAGTTACGTCACTTTACCGAAAGACCCAAAGAATATGAATTCCTGCAGTCACGAAAGCTCTAAGTCAAGACTGTATACGTAATTTTGCGTCACTTCGTCGGCAAGAGTTTCTCCAATATTGATTCATGCAAGGCTGCTGATGAGACGCTGCGTGTCAAAACCAGTTTTGCTTGTCATGAAACAATGCTGCTGAAATTATGCACTCCCAGAAGTCCATGTGGCTGGCGGTGTGCGTAGGGGCTTGTGTGGAGACAGACAGGCATGTGAAGGGGACATGGTCTGCTTTTATTTGTTTTTCTTTTGCTATGAGCAGGTAAGAGGTGTAGCTGTTGGCCACGTGTTGTTCAATGGGCTACTGTCACTACTGCCACAACGCCTTCCACTCACGAGTTATTGTGACCGCTGGAACAAATGTATTTATTTATTTATTTTATGCACCAAATATAACGTCTCCAATACAGGGCGGCGGGGGGGTGGGTCACAGTTCACAAACTTCACAATATCAACCGTTTGCACCAAGGCCGTAGCCATGGAGTCAACATTGGGGGGCCAAAATCTTCCAGGGGATGTGAGGGTCCCCCCCCCTCAGAATTAAAAAAAAAAACTAATTTTTTGCCTAAAATATTACAAATATCAATAACACATGGGATGGACTTTTTATTTATTTTTTACAATAATGTCTAATAGTGTATTGTATTACATTGCTCTGTTTTTTCTTCTTTACCTTTTCTTGTTTCATTGTATGTAACGGCAGAGATTAGGGATTAATAAAGTACAACCATAACCACAATAATATAAACAGAAATCTATTTTATAGCAATATATTGGGGGGGGGCATTTTGAGCATATTTGATGTGTCCCCCCCAATATCTATTATAATTACGGCTTTGGGTTTCACCCGATAGGCTGGAATCGTAAAGATCTGTTGCCATTGTGACCATCGCAAATCGTGTCCATACAGGGCTAATTCTAAACAAACGCAAACAAACGTTGTACGCCACGTGATGTGCGTGCAAGCGTCGGGATAAGTCCGTCCGTCCGTCCTGCGTTCTGAGGCTCCGCTACCTTCGCCTTCGTGAGGCTGAGTCGACTTAGGGGAGGCCCAGGACCTGTTCAGATTTACCGGTGTTGGCAGCGGACGGGAATCTAATCCGGGTCGTCCGCTTCGCTTGACAACTCCCGGACACGCCGAGGAGGAGGTTCCTCATCCAGCAGTGGATTTAAAAAAAGGGCCGTGCGTGCATAATGACATTTCATAGTTGTGTGCATTCCTGAGCAGTCACGGGTGAGCTAATAACAGCCCAGGCGTTCCCGCAGAGTCCGTGACTATAATTGCCCACCGTAAGTGCGGAAGCTTCAGGGCATTTCGCCCATTCTGTTTGTCTCCAAGCACGCCGGTGTTGGGGAGAGATTCATGTAACGCGCCCCACCCCACCACTTGTGTATGGACTCAACGATTTGCGACTGATGCCCAAGCATTTGGGTTGATCCGATGTGCGAGAGATTTAGAATCACCGAGTACGGCGAGATATGTCAGTACGCGGTGGCTCTTTAAGGACCGCTGGCTTCGTGACGTTATTCGTTCAGGGACCATCGTCTTGTATTCATCACAGAGTGCATTGAGGCTCTTGAAATACTGAGTTTTTTTTTACTGAATTCGAAAGAAACGGCTCCTCTTCTGATGTTGGTTGCCGACCTCTGGTTCATAGACGGACGCTTCCGTGTCGTAATGGATAACCCTCAAGAGGCCATATTGCGCTGTCCAGAGCTCTCTCTCTCTCTCGAGTGGAGGCCCTTCCGCTAGCAGCTTGCGCTAGCAATAAATTGCAGGGCTGCGCCTTGACCCATAATGCTTGTACGTACAGGAATGACAATAACGACCAGCAGCAACAGCTGTGACCGCGTCGTCGTCGTCTTCAAAAAAATAATAATAGTTGAGCGCGTCAAACGTTGCCCTCGGAATGTCCCCTTGCGTAAAAACCAGTCCATCGAGTCTGGCGCGCCGTGAGCAGCGCAAAGGGAACGCCGTCAGATAATTTCAGCTGCCACACGTTTGACAACGCCCCCCTTTGATAATCGTCCACACCCCCCCTCTCCCCCTCGAGACTCGTTGACATATTTATTTATTAGTTCTCTCT